GAAAAAAACAGAGAAATTTGCAACTCTAACCAGTGTGATCATTCATTTCTTTCAGTAAATTCATCCCTTCAAAAACATTGGGACGACCGACAAAGCCGCCCGGTTCGAGCTTTTCCTCAACAGAAGCCATGTACAATCTCCTTGCACAAAACTCCTTAATGTGCTTTTCAATCCCAAAACAGCCTAATAATAGCTAAAGAACCCATTTTTTCTCAAGAATTAATCAGAAAGCTTCCATCAAAATATCCCAATAACAAAAGGTAAAACTCTCCATCTACAGATTCACAAGAGCCTGAAGCCCACACAATTTACTGTTCACCCAACAACAGCACCATAAGTGTCCCCTTAAAAGATAATCAGTCCCTAGTAAGCATTTTTCAGGAAGAACAGAAGTACAATGCCAAGCAAGACAGTTAATTTCAGAGAGTCTATTAGTATAATAGGAGCAAATCAAAGAGAGAATGCCCCTAAAGATCCAAAACTAAGTAAGAAAAACACATTCTTGCCAAGAAAATAAAAAGGAAAAGAAAAAGATCGTTTGTGGGGCTAACAACAACAACAACAACTATCAACAGTAAAAGGGGTGCAAGTAAAAAAAGGAGCAAAATTTGGAGATGGGTCGGTAAATTTTGCATCAAAGCACGCGGAGAAGAGCATGAGTGGCTTTGATTATCAAGTGTTTTCCCCTTTTTCCCCACATATCTCTATCATATTCTTCTACAGAAGAAATTAATTGACCTTTCAATGAATAGAGAAGAAGAAAAAAAACAATGGGCTTTTTGAGAAAACAATAATAAAAGGATTCAAAACTGGGGAAGAGTGTGTGTTCATGGTGTTTAGCCTGCGCACATCAGTTGCCGAATATAGTCAAGTCTGTTGCAGCTTTAAGGTGAGAAATTTTGTTAGCTCAATAAATGAATATGAAACCTGAAAAGCAGAGAGCAGTGCTTTTCCCACACGAAACCGGACTTGCTCCCAGAATACACGAGTCAGATCTTTTTTTATTTTATTTTTTAGTCAGCCACGGTATTTGGAGTTATGCTCCGACTAATCCGTTGGTCGATCGCGCACACCTGGCAGTAGTGAGTGAGTTTTCCAATAAGGGTTTTTTGCATGCAGAAGGACTCGAACTCAAGACCTTGATTAAACGACATCAAACTGCTTACCACTTGAGTCAACTTCTATTGGTCGAGTCAGATTTTCAATTAATGCAAAAATAAATAATATTTTTACATGTATGTATATGGTACTAATATTTAAATTTATTTATTTAGGTAAAAAGCAAATTAAATGAGAGTACATTAGTGTGTGAGTTGAAACTTTAAAATGCATTTTTTTTTTTTTCAGTAGAACTGATGTTCAAAGGATTGATAATCCGCAAATAGAAGAGTAGTGGACAGTCACATGTTTGGTTCTTCACTCGCGTGTGAATAGTCTTGTAGTACAACCACATATCGGTTGTTCAATCAATACCCCAAGTCCCGAACCAATACAAAGAAACTTATGTACTTAATCAAGTTATGGCCGCATTTGGAATTCTATTATAATTACTAAAAAGTTAAAATGTTTTCGGAGAGTGAGAAATTGAATAGACTTTGACTTTGAGTTATTTATTTTTTTATTATTTTTTTTTTAAAAAAAAGCTATTGCAAGAACAATTTGGGTTTATAATTACTCAATTGAGGTTTCAAAACTTTTGACTCAATTTAATAGTTAAGGCATATTGGCCCACATATTTTTTAGAAAAATGTATAATTATATAATGAAAATGTCAAATTTTCTTTTATCATATTAAAGTATAATATTATAATTTAATTGTATGAATATTTGTTGAATAAAATAATAATTTTGTAATGGTAAACTTATTCCAACATAAATAAAGCACCAAAATTCTCAAATTTGAAACAGTTTTTGTAACTTTTTTTTTTTCTTCTAAAATCATAGATATTATACATGTGAATAAAATAATTTAGCTGTTATTTTTCTTTTTTTGTACAAGTACCTTCTGGTTTTCGGATTCACAGGGGAACCGACTAATCCGGATCGAGCTGAGTAGGACCACAAGGGAGGCAAAGTTCTCCCTCAAGAGTTTTTAACACTGATGCATTCCCAGGGCTCGAACACGAGACCACTAGTTAAACTGGAAGAGATCCAAGTCATCTAATTCAAGCGCTCTTGAGTAAGTTAGCTGTTATTTCAAATTATAATATAAAAAATAAAAGAAATTCTGGAAACTTGCGAGCTTTTAAAAATATAAATAAATAAATGCAGTGGAGCTATTGGACAAATATCTGCTGCGCCTATGAATTTTGACCAAAGCTTTTTACATTAAGATGGTGCTATGGTTTTCTTCACCCCAAATTACGCGACCAAATAATATAGCACCGTGAGTGAATTTATTATTTTACTTTTTTCATAGTGGATGAGTCTTTGGGATATCACTTCTTAAACATTCCACCAGATAGTGTGCGTCCGTGGCTAGAACACGATCTCATTGGTGTTACCTACTCACAAAACGTGTGTAATTTGATCGATTTTAGCCTCTTTTGTTGTACAAAAAAATATAGTACTTTTTGTTTATTTTTAATTTTAATTTTTTATAGTACTAGTATTATTTTTGTAATAAATAGGTTTGATGAAGACAAAAGGGAGGCGTATTTTAGCACGTGGATTACGAGGTTTCTATTCCCAGGTTTGGTTTGGGCTATTCAAGACTAGACTTTCTGAGTGCAACTGTCCTCATTCTCTCTTTTGAAACCTGTTTGGTAATATTGATATTTGTTCAATAAACAAAATTTAGTTGAGACTATTTGAGAACTGTGAATTGTGTTGCTAGAAACTTTACTGTGACATGGACTCGAGTACAAGTATCGAATACGGGTATATTTTCAAGTATTCGGTATTTGAATTTCTAAAACTTAAGATACGGAGACACGTACCCAATCCTGGATACGAGTACGTGGATCAGTGTAATAAAATTAAAAAAAATAATATTGCAACATTAATAGGAAAAAAGTATATATATATATATATTTCATTGCAAATTTAGATTTATAATAATTTAATACAAATATATTACTAATACAACATTGAAATAAAAAGAAAAAGCAATAAATTAACATTTCAATTTAATTTTCTACTCATTTACATAATTGAGTGGTAAATTAAAAAGAGAAAGCCCATATAAAATGTACATTTCAATTAATCAGTCCCATTATATTAAAACTTTAAAACCCATGTACAGTCAACAACCCATTCAATTAAAAGCCCACTATATACAATTAACCTAGACTTTTTAAAATTCACGCGTTCCAACTCAACAACCGTCTCACTGTTCGTCTTTCCCTTTGCCCTCTTCTCTGTCGCCCTTCCAACTTCCACCCGTCGCCTTTCAAAGACATTCTATGTCCATCGCCTTCAACTCTCAACAACCACCGCGCACTGTTCGTCTTCGACCCGCCCCGACAACATCAATGGTCAACATATCTGGCCTCTTTTGACTGGATCGGAGCCAGATTTTGTACCGATACTTGTGTCGTGTCGTGTCGACACGGGTACGCCGGTGGTAGGTGACGACAGTGGCGGACCTAGGCAGGGGCCCGTAGTGGCACGGGCCCCTGTGCAATTTTTTTTTAAAAAAAATAGTACATATATAATTATATTGTAAAATAACTACAGATTTTTTTTAAAAAAATTTAAGTTTGCATTGTGTATTTATATTATGTTGTATGTAATATATATAAATGAATCGTATCGATTTTCCACAAAGGTCAACATTAATTTTGATACATGATGAATTTTAGATGTTCTTAAAATTATAATTATAAGTTTAAAATTAGCTACTAGATTGTGTTCGTGATTGATTTTTAACTAATAAAATATTTATCTTTATTATAAAGAAGTCGTTGATTATTTTTTCCCTTTTACCCCTATTTACTCGTATTTTCCTTGACTTCTTTAAACGCATACAATTTTCTTTCAAAATGCGATGGGGCAAGAAATATATGTTATCCACATCAAATAATGGTGTCGTGTTCGAAAACAAGTCTTTCCGGAGACGTTGATTATTTTTTCCCTTTTGTCCATATTTACTCGTATTTTCCTTGACTTCTTTAAATGTATACGATTTTGCTTCAAAAAGAGATGGGGCACGAAATATATGTTATCCACATCAAATAATGATGTCGTGTTCGAAAATAAGTTTTTCTGGAGATGTTGATTATTTTTTTCCCTTTTAACCCTATTTACTCGTATTTTCAGTCTTGCGAGTCGGCGTCTGCCCCTGGGTGACGAGTTCGAGTAACATAGCATAATATTGTATTTAGGGTGAGTTCGAGTAACATAGCATAATATTGTATTTAGGGTGTACATAACATTCACATTGAGTGAGACCGACCAAAAATAAAAACCTAGTAGATAATTTTGCCAAACTAGTAGTCTTGGAAAAATGAAATGGATAATTTTAGGGTGGCTATGTACCTTCCCATCAAATTAATTCCACATTAATGTCATCCAAGATGCATAATTTTGCCAAACAAGTGCAAATAATTAAGCTATTAATTAATTAGATATAATTTTAGAAACGAGTTCAGGTAAAACCTAGAAAGTAGTACATTAAACACAATAATAGAGTTTTAGCAGCTTGTGTTATGTCACTATGTATCTATCTCAATAATGGGTGCCATAGTGGGCTACCAAATTGTTGTATTATTGGACATAGATCTTATAGGCTCATATATATGTTTATGTAACTCAAGCTTAATGATTGAATAAAATAACAACGATTTATTGAAAATTGTTAGCCTATCATATATCCTATCAATATAGTAATGCTCCTCTATCCACGGTAGGCACATGTTATATGTCCACCGATTATGCAACATGCACATATTGGTGATGTATTTTTTTGAACATATTAACATCACCAATATGAGCATTCCACATAAACAACAGACATATTAACATATTAACATGTGTCTACCCGTAGGTAGAGAAACAATTACTGCCTATCAATACCTATCAATATTACTTACCACTATTTATCTATCATACG